TATCTCTATTTGGTCCTCTCAATCCCCAGGCATAGTATAAGGAGTCTTCCTCCAAATAATTCATTTCTACTTACATGTAACATCTATTAATCTGTTCACTTTATCCAAAAAACATATAATGATTTCTAATGGTACTAAGGAAACTTGGTAACAATAATTCAAGCTTCCAATGCCAAGAAGGATTGGATTTTTTTCCCATTTATGCTTCTTTCTACTTTCCAGCTCCAGAAGAGTTTCCTTTATGTGTGTGAGGTCGGGAGTAGGTGGGGAGGGGTGTAACTAATTTAGAATTGAAATGCTAGAGCAGAAGAGGTAAAAAGTAAAAGAAGTAGTTCTATTGTGATTAAAAACACATAATTCTAATAAACAGCTGAATTCTGGCTCAACTTTCCTAGTCATCAAGTGATAATGGGTTCTAGGCTCTTTACTTTCACAATTCCTTACTCTTTGAGCAAAGACCTGGGGATTACATTTGTTGTATGCAGTCATACATTCCTGCTAGAACTGAAGCTACTACTATATGTCAAATCAAAGTAGTTCTTTGAAATAATATTACCAAAAGTGCTACAATAGAAAAAAACTAAATTCAACACATCATTAAGTTCTGTTTCTGCTGCTTATTTGCCATGATCTCAGTTTCCTCAATCTATAAAATGAAAATGACAACAGCTAATTTATATCCTTATCCTTCTTGTTCAGAAAGAGCCTGTTATGTCTCACTTTCACAACTTTCGTAACAAACCTGTTCTTTTCTGACATCCTTCTACCTTGTTATTTAGTCTCAGAGTTGCTTTATTCAATACAGTAGTCACTATATACATAGTCTAATGATTACTTGAAATATGACTAGTTGGAACAGATAGGTGTGGAAGTGTAACACATAAACAGGATTTCAAGGACTAAGTGTGAAAAAAGGACATAAAACATCTCCATATTTTATCCTGATAATATGCTAAGATAATGCTTTAGGTATATTCACTTAAGTAAAATACATAACAACATTGATCTCATCTCTTTAAAAACATTTAATATGGCAACTAGAAAATTTTAATTACATATGTGACTCATATTACATTTCTAAACTCTCTGGTCTTAAGAGTTTTGACTTTCCAACTGATTATAATTTCCTTAGGAATAGGGATAAAATTTTAAAATTTACTTTTTTAACCCCTAGTCTCTAGCAAAACACTTTTTACATAGTAGGTGCTTATAAATGATGGTCCAAACTGTGCTTCCTCTTGACTTGTTTTCAAAATTATGCCATAACAAGAAGTCTATTTCTAATATTAGCCTACATTTATGGACATGGAGCTAATCAAAGGACTCCACAGATATAGTTTCCTGGTTTAAAAAATTTGTTAACCAAAAAAAAAAAAAAAAAATTTGTTAACCAGTTTTTTTCAAAATTATATTAATACCTTGCTCATTTTCCCTTTAATATTATTTTTCCATGTTCTTTTATTGTACCAATAATTATACCAGTCAGTTATCATGTTAACCTGTATGCTGTGATTGGTATTTTTCAAATCTAGGAACAAATGACTATGCTAAGATTCAAGAGTGGCTAGAAGGCAATTTCTTAGGGTTTTATACAAGAGTCTCCACTATAAGTAGCTTGTTTCAATTCCATTTTTATTCACTAGATGTACGTATTGGTTTTTGATTTTATGCATAAAGTTATTTTTAAATAAAGCACTTTTAGTTAAATTGGACTATGGAAAGTTTACAATTGCTTTACGAAAAAATATAAGCCATGAGACAAAATTTTATTCTTCTTACAGAGCAGATATCCCTAATTCACAGTCTATCAATTCTTAGTAACCAGTTATTCCAAAAGTACTTTAAAATTATTCTTTTTAGTTCAAGGGTTTAGGAAGGTCCAACTCTAGTCAAGGCAATGGTTAAATATAAATAGTAAATATAAGGTCTCTATCCTCAAGGAAAGACAAAATGAAATCAAAATTGAAATTGCCAAAACTTACTGATGAGTGGAAAACAATTATGTAATAAAGAAAATGGAGCTGGTGGGAATGAGTTTTATTTTAGAGATACAATTATCCCAAAATAAATGTTATTAGGAACTAAAACACTAGCATTTAGCAGACCCTTTCTTCATAGATCCTGAAGTAAACTTTCAATTTTCTACCCATAAAATACTAGTCTACTAGGGTAGACCAGATGAGCATAAGTGATCTAATAAGTTTTCTTTCATAGCCTTAGAAGTGAGTATAAATTTTGATCCAATACATTAACTTATTCAATATAAAAACATTGAGTACCTTCCAAATTTTAAATTAGTTTATTAGTGATACACTGTATTAGTACAATCTTTTTTAAAAATATGCAATAAAACTATACGCCCATAATACAATAAAATATAATCCTTTAAAAAAAAACTTTATTTTGAAATAATTATATATTCATAAAGAGGTTACAAAGGGAACATACAAGGGAATTCCATGCATCCTTTCCCCAATCTCTTGCTTTCAGTGTTTTTTTTTTTTTTTTGCTTGTTTTTGTAGATAAGGTCTCACTATGTAGTCCAGGGTCACCTCAAATTCCTAGGTTCAAGTAATCCTCCTGCCTCGGCCTCCCAAGTACTGAGTACCTGGGACTACACGCATGTGCCACCACACCCAACAAGCTCTTCCATCTTATATAACTTTAGTATCTTTTCATGATATATTGGAAGTAAAAAGAAAGACATATGATAGCTATATAAAATTTTCTCATGAAAACATTTCCAAAGTTTATATTTTCATGGAAAAGGGGGAAATGTGACTTAAGGGTCTTTCTGAGCTTACAGGTCTTACATAAAAAAGGAGAATTTAAAAATACAAAAATTCTGATGGTTGGTCCCATAACAAAATTTGGCACTCTGCCTTCTGAATTATGTCTGAGGGACATACACCTTTGCAAGAAACAAAAAAAATTTTCCAGAATCAGAAGTATTTAAAGATTTGACTCCATAAGTTATCCTATAATTATATATGTATCCTATGAATACATTTAACAAAGAAAACAGGCAGCTATTTATTTACCCCCTCTACTACTCTCTTCCAGCAAGTTATTCATTCCTTTGTAACTGTATAATTAACACAAGGCTTTGTATATTGCCTCTGTAAATTGCCTTTTAGACACATAATAGTCACATGAACAAAGCAAAGATCTCTCTCACACACTGTATACTAGACTAATTATACATAAATATATTTATATAAATAAATAAATAAGGAATGTAGAGGTTAATATTTCTAGAGAGCAAATAATTTTTTATTATTACCCAAATGCCTATAACTCATTAGATTTGGATATGTATCTATTGGATACTTTATGTTTTTTTTTTAAAGTCCAGGGACTGGGCAATATTAATTCAGTGGTAAAGTACTGCTTGCCTAGAATGCACAAGGCCTTGTGTTTAATCCTAAAACTGCAAATTAAAACACAACAAAAAAAGAAACAAAGACTAAAATTTAATACTTTCAACCTGGTGCCTCTCAATTCTTGCTTCTGGGTTTCCTTCCTTCATAGTATCCGTTTTGGCAGAATGAGTGACAGTTAATTTTCCTAATAGTGCCTTGTTTGGGAATGTTTTTATTTACCAAAACCAAAACCAAAAGCAACTTATATGTAGTGCAGACAGAGAATCTATTTCATTTATTTTCATTGGAATTAAACTGTGTAATTTATAATGGTTTTTAAAAACCATATAATAATCATACAGTTAAATGTACTGTGTAGCATAAGAGTACTAGAGAGCATCTATGTGTCTTTCCCAATGGCAGAACCAGGAGTAGTAAAAACAAAATGCTTCTAGACCACTAGAAATGCCAGCAAAAGGAGGAACAGTAAGTCTATTTTCTTGCGTTCCATGTGACAATTTCTGGAGTCCTAAAATAAAGAAAATTTTTCCTTTTTTTAAAATTTAAATTACATTTTATCCAGTATCCTGCAGTCAGTCCCATTAAGTAAGATACATTTATACACTCAACCAGATAATAAAACATTTGAGCTTTCCATCCCTCTGCTCAATACTCACTTGAACTTAACAACTTTCATAGCAATAACTTAGAATTTAAGTAGCAAGTCACTCAAAACCAAAAAAGACATTTAAGTCTATGCAGACAAGTACCTATTTCCAAATAGTCTAGAGGCAAGGTAAGAATCTTTCATTGAATCCTTCAGAAATGGCACCCATAAAAACAAAAGTTGTCAAAACAATAATCTAGCAGGAAGCACTCTCTTTATTCTATTTAAAAATGACTTAAGTTTATTTTTCAACTCAACTTTCTTTTTAAAAAATGAAAATCCTAAACTTAAATGGATAGCATAATATATGGATGTATTGTTAGTTAGGATTAAAATATAAAGYTTACGGCTGGGGTTACAGCTCAGAGATAGAATGCTTGCCTACTGTGTGAGGCCATGGGTTTATATCCCCAATATCTCAAGGTGAAAAAAAGATTAAAATTTAAAATCAAATTACTTTCCAATATATATATAAATAAAAAATCTTAACATTAAAACAACCTATTATCTTCTTTTTGGGGAAGAGTGAAAGAATAAAGATTGAGTCCAAGGACACTTTACCAGTGAGCTATATTCCCAGCCCTTTTAAAATTTTTTATTTGGATTCAGGGTCTCATTAAGTTGCCCAGGCTGGCCTTGAACTTGTGATCCTCCTGCTTCAGCCTACTGAGTAGCTGGGATTATAGGCATGTGCCACCACACCCATCTATCTTGAAGCTTGATGCTAACAATCAGTAAATGAAAAAGACAAAAAATAATTCTTAAAAAACACAGCATTTTGGCTCAAAAGTTATTAGCAGAAATGATCTTAGCTAAAGAAATTTTGGCCCTTAAGCTTCAGATATTTCAGCTAAAAATACAAAAAGACAAAAAATATAAATACAGATTAAGCACTGGTTGGTTGTACTAAAATGATTGTATAAAATATTTTCCCCTTCTCAATCCAAAAATACCTTGACTTAAATACTTACTCTGAGCCTGCAGCCATTTCCAAGTATGACGTTTCTGCTGTATCAACCCCCAATGGGATCACTATGCTCATGACGTTCGCCTCTGGTAAATTCGATTACTATGGAGTCCTATGCATTGGTATCCAAAACACTGGGGCATGCCAGCCACAGTGCTCATTGCAAACATCTAAGTGCATCCACAAACCCTGTTTAAAAGAAATGGGAACAAAATAGTTAAGAACTATCTTAACTAGCTACAATCACACTGTATAATAATAGTAAATAACAGGTAAAGAAAGCATTCTTTATTAAGATCTCAAATGGCAATATGCTCAGTGAAGTATCTATTTCATTTATTTTTCTGGAATTAAGTTGTGTAATCATGATCAAAATAAAAGCTTCTGGGGGTATATTTCAGTGGCAGGGCCCATGTTTAACATGTGCAAGGTTCCCAAAACAACAACAAAAGAAAACAAGTTTCTAAATCATAATCTTCCTTAGGGAATGAATTTAGGATGCTACAAGAAGGATTACTGCCAGGTGCATGCAGGGATGCAGGCCTGTAATCCCAGCAACTCTGGAGGGCTGAAGCAAGAGGATAGAAAAATCAAGGCCAGCTTCAGCAACTAAGTGAGACTCTCTCTCAAAAAGAGTTGGGGATTTAGCTAAGTGGTAGAGCACCCCTGGGTTCAATTCCTAGTACCAAAACAAGAAAAAAAAAAATTACTTAAGACATATTCTAAGGGATATTGTTCAGTAAACAGCCAACAAATATTATTCATTTTAAAAGATAAAATTGGAACTTATTAGTATTCAAAAACAAGTCTTCTTGGTTCAGTGAGTAATCTAACAATATATTAACAACTTATCTAAGCACTATACTAAGCCCTTTTGCATGAATTGTCTATTGAAGCCTCACAGTCCTGAGGTAGGTATATCCATTTTACCACATAGGAACACATAAAAAAAGGCTAAATAACTGAACCAAGGTTGCTCATCTTGAGATGATACCAGAATTTGAATCAACGCTATTATAATATTTATACATGTATACAAAGAAAACTATTTAAAGTAAAAAATCAATTTATTTTCCATAATATATAAATCTATGAATATCAAGAAAGAACTCTAGAGTTCTCTAGAGTCATTAACTGCACAGAGTTACTAACTCTAATTAATGCCAGTTAGTAGAGAAAACTAATAAACTTGGTGTCTTTTAAACAAACTTATGACAGTAACTAAAAGACATTCAGTTTCAACATCAAGTTTCCTAATCTAAATTCACTCTATAACACTTGCTAAATATGTTGTTTTTAAAATATCTACTCAAAGGCTTTTCAATAATGACATCATATAACTTGGAAACAAAATCAACAATTCCATAAACTAGAAAACAACAGTCAATATAGTCCCTATCTGTTAATGCTATACCTAAAGTAAAGAAGAACAGTATTTCTTCAAATAGCAGTCCTTGCATTTATATTTAATTTTTACAATTAAACTTGACAATACCTGTAAAGGTCAATTTCTATTTCACAAATGGTATAAATTATAAGTTCAGACCTTCTGAGGAAAAAAATTAACAAAATGGGAAAATGAGATGTTAAAAATGGTTTTAATTCTATAAGAAAACCAGTCTTTACTTTTAAACAACGTGTAACTAGAAGAACACTACTAGATTATAAATTATTATAGTATAAAAATATACAATAAGCTAGACACGGTAGCACATGTATGTAGTAGTTCCAGTTATTCTGGAGGCTGAGGCAGGAGGATGGCTTATGCTCAGGAGTTAAGACCAGCTTGGAAAACAGCAAGACCCCACCTCAGAACAAAACAAAAATCTCCACATACACATAAAACAATTTTAACAAAAAAACAATACTTAGTAATTACCCCCTAAAAATTAAAAACAGTAACTTTGGAGCCTGACTCTATCATTTAGTAGATGTGTGTGATGCTAGACAGGTTATTTAACCCAAGAGTTGGACACACTGGCCCATTCCAGTAATCCCAGCTACTCCATAGGCTGACACAGGAGGATCCCAAGTTCAAAATCAGCCTGGACACATTAGAGAAATCCTTTTCAAAATACAATAAATAGAGATAGGAGGGTAGCTCAGCAGCACTTACTTAGCATGTGCAAGACCCTGGGTTCAATCCCCAGCATGTTTTTAACAAAAAAACACAACTATTACCAGGTTCCATATTTACAAAATGGGGATTTACCCTTATAGGATTTCTATGAAAAAAATGAAATTAATGTAAAGCAGAAAGAATGTTTCACATATATTTAAGCAATTGATATATAGTACAGTTTGCACACCCCCAATGTGAAATTCAAAATACTCTGAAATCCATTCATTCAGATTTCAGACTTTTGGACTGGGGATGCTCAACTTGGAAAGTTAATGCAAATATGCCAAAATGACACTTCCAGTCCCAAGCATTTCAGACAAGGGATACTCAACTTGTAGTCACCTAACAAGAATTCTTATTTCATAACAAAACAACGTGTAACTAGAAAAACTCTGTAGTTCTCATTTAAAGAGAATCTTCTAATAGCTTTTGAAAGTAAAATAATTAAGGTTCTTTACTTGCCTTTTTTTTTTTTTTTTTGGAGGGGTGGTGCTGGGGATTGAACCCAGGGCCCTGTGCATGCAAGGCAAGCACTCTACCAACTGAACTATATCCCCAGCCCTAATTGCCATATTTTTATCTTCACTCCACAAATTAAAAGTCTCTTCCCAAAATAACTGAAGCAAAGTGAACAAAAGGAAATGTCTTACCTTCTTTTCTGTCGCCATAACTATAGTAGAATTACTTCATTATTCCCATATTTATTAACTATCAAAAGGCTATAAAATTATAAAATTTCTATGTGACAAATGCAAACAATGTATAAAACAAAAGTTTGTTCTATCCAGATGTTATATTATTCTGTATTTCCTTAAGATGCTAAAGACTTGGACCTAATAACAGGTACCAACTGCAATTAAAAAAAAAATCTTGTTAATAGCATCTGGTTGGTAGAGGTTTTCTTCAACTTTTCATCTTTATATAAGACTTAAGAGAGGTCTTGTATTTTTAGGTATATACACATTCAGTTGTGCTTTGTTTACCAGAGGTAGGAACTAGAAAGTAAAAAGCATGTTCTTATGTATTTTTAAGTAAACCAATAATATATTTAATCTAAAATGATTTACTAGCGTACCTATATAATGGTGTTTTCATTCTTAGATATACAATCCTCAATAAACACTATTTTGAGCTGTTTTTAGATAGCAGTGAAGAACTTGCTACAACTTGGACAGTGGCTTTTATCTGTGTTATTTTTGCCTCTCCCCCTAATCTTTATTGTGCCTGGAACACAACATTACAAAGGATTGGAAAATGAATTATAGCTTCTAGGACAAATCATACCTCTGGCCTCACTAACTAAATGAACTGCCAAACTATATATCAAATGCTATAAAAACAACTAGATGACATCCCCAGAACTTCATCTCTCTGTAAACACAAACGCTCATCCTCAGGATAAAGACACATCATCACATCTGAAACAGAACGTTACACTCTTGAGTTTGACCCAATAGAAAAGGATACCAGTAACTACTCAAAACTGATCAGAAGAGGTCCTATCTACTGAGACCAAAAAATGGCAAATATTTCATTATTTCCAATAATATCAAAAGCACTATTGCCATAAAAACTCATACTGCTTAAAAATCTAGTTAATAATAAAATCCTATAGAGGTTCATGCTTGTAATTCCAACTACTTGGGAGGTTGAGGTAGGTGGTTTGCAACCTTGAGGCTAGCCTGGGCCAGAGAGAGAGAGACCCTGTCTCAAAAATTTAAAAGGGGCAGGAAATATAGCTTACAGATAGGGCACTTGCTAACATCAGGAGGCCCTGGGTTCAATTAACAATACTGCCCTCCCACACAAAAAAATTGACTTTAAAAAAAAAATTTTAATGGTAAAGTCAATGTAGTAAGCAGAAAAAAAGTGAGCTCATAACACAGGCATAAGGAGGGAAAATTAAAATAATCCAAACAATTATCACAAACTTTGATATATGTGAAGAATAAAAAAAACTGTTCATCCAACTGTCAAATAAGATATATACAAAATATACTAAGAATAAATGGCAGCCATTAATGAAATAATATAAAAGGAAATACCATGAGATGTCTGGGAAATCTGAGGTCCAAGAAAGAATAAATGTCTTCACAAAACCTGCTATCCAGAATAGACCTAGAAACCAAGTGAACATAGGAGCATTGAGCTATTTTTAAATGGCACAGAATTCTAGGTACTTCTGATTAACATGGTACCTAAAACCAAAGGGACTCACACAAAAATAGCAAATTCCTAAAGTGATATATTTAATCTTCAACTCTTTACACAAATGAACATAAACACAACAGAGACAACAATTAAGTTAAATACAAAATCAAACTGAAGATACTGGAAAAATACAATATTAAAAAGACTTAAAAGCCAATGATAAAAATAATAAAAACAAAAGGTAAAAAAAGCAATTAAAGATGGAAAAAGCAATTTCAGACAGAAAACAGTCTATCTGAAAAGCTAAAGACTAAAGCTGCTTTTAAGACCATGCTAAAAAAGAAAACTGAAAAGATCACCCGAAGGACAAAAAGAATGAAAATGGGAGGAAAATTTTTTTCCTAAAATTACAATAAAATGCCTAATCTAACAATCTCTTTGAGGAAAGGGTCATCCATTATCTTTCTTTTCTTTATAAGACCTCACACCATGTTCAATAAATATTGACTATTTAATATTTATTGGATGTATGCTGCTAAGAGGTGAATTTTTGGCCTAATTACTAATGGAAATCAATAAACTAGAAAAGAAATGGTGAGGGACCATGTATCTAAGATTTCCTATAATCAGAAATTAAATTTGGTCATCAATTTAATATTTTATTATTTATAGTAGCTAATACATAATAAAAAATGCTCAATCAAGATCCACTCCCCACCCCCCCCAATAAAAAAACAGATCCATTCCAAGTTAATACCTATGAAACCTTAGGCAAGTCCTTTCAATGCTCTTTGTTTCAAGTAAATATGGAGGTTGGTTGTGTCGATGATCTTATAGTTTACATCTTATAATCACAAATCTATTAGATTATTTCTGATAATCAAAACAACAGAATAAATGTAAGATTTTGAAAAGCTATAAATTACATACCTGATAAGACAATGAGTATGTATTTCTCTAGCTGGGCTTATCTTAGTACCTGATAGTACTCTGCAAGTTCTTATCTGATATTCAAACCTCCCCAACTAGTGGTTATAATAATGAACAAATACCAAGTATTTATAATGCTTAATCCTCACAACAAGCCTAAGGTACAGGTATAATTATTATCTTCATTTTACAGATGAGGCAGAGAAGATAAAATTGTCCAACGTTAATAGTCAAATTAGGATTTGAACTCAAGTGGTCTGCTTTTAGCCTATAGTTTGCCTGAAATTAACATTTGCCACACAACTGATAAATTTTTTTAAAAAAACCCTATCATTTAAACAGGAAAAACTGACAGCTGTTTCTCCCTAAAAGAAAAATTAATTCTAGAAATATCTCACTCCAGAATACTGGTCTGCATTTACTCTGGTACATTAAACAAAATGGAAAAAAATTCATCTTATTCTTCTACCAAACCTGATCTAGTTAGCAAACTTACATTCATTCCACATAATGCATTAGAATAACAGAAAAGTGGAAAAGTACAGGCTCCAAGTCTAAAATCAGTATGAAATGTTTCAGGAAAAGTGCAAAGCATGTAATCAAAGGATAAAGATAAAATTGCCCATTATTTTCAGAAATAAGCACATGTCTCACTAAAAAGCTGAAAGTAACTCTTAAGAATTAAGGGACCTGAAAGTCGAGGCAGAGCACACTCGGGTGGCTGAGGCAAGAGGATCTGAAGTTCAAAGGCAGCCTCAGCAACTTAGTGAGATGCTAAGCAATTCAATAAGACCCTGTCTCTTGAAGATCCCAAGTTCAAGGCCAGCCTCAGCAGTTTAGAGTGGCCCTAAGCAACTGAGTAAGACCCTGTCTCAAAATAAAAAGAGCAAGGGATGTGGCTCAGTGGTAAAGTACCCCTGGGTTAAATCCCCAGTACACATAAACAAACACACACACACACACACACACACACACACACACACACACACGCAAAAAACAGTTTTCAGAGACAGGATTTCACCAATTCAACTTACACTATACTCCTGAGGCAAATAACATTCTATCTTTCTATTGAGAAATATCAGTCTTTAGTCATGGTTTTTGTTGGTGATTTACTTGAAAAACTAAAACACGTACACATAATTCAATGTTCAAATGCACATTTTCTGAATAAGAGTTTTAGAGTTTCACTGTATCCCATTTAGTACAATTCCAATCATTACTATTAAACTCAATATCAGAGTAGCAATGCTTTCGTTTTCACGTCATGCCATTTAATAATGGTTATGTACTCTCCTTAAGGCTTAGTTTCCTCACCTGTAGAGAACAACCATAGAATATGTTTCTGAATTGTTTAAGGATTTGTATGGGGCACTCAGTAGTTATAATTAGGTAACATTTCCTGGAATTAAATACTTAAAGCTCTTTATAAATGAGTACTGGAGCGGGCATGGTGGTGCACAGCTGTAATTCCAGCAGCCTCGTATGCTTAGACAGGAGGATCGCAAGTTCAAAGCCAGCCTTGGCAATTGTGAGGTTCTAAGCAACTCATTGAGACCCTGTCCCTAAATAAAATACAAAATAGGGCTGGGGATGTGGCTCAGTGGTTGAGTGTCCCCAGTATCTCCCAAACAAACGAACAAAAAAATGAGTGCTAGAGAACAATTTCTGGCTATTATAAAAATTTAATAAGCTCCTATGAGATTCTCATCTATTCCAGAACCCATTCTTTTCAGGAAAGAAGAAAGGATGCTTCTGTATTGTACTACATATTTAGAGACTGTTACAAGTAGTTTCATTTAAAAAACCAACAGCCACACCACTTTATTATACACTCCAAACATACAGTCCAATTATTTTCTTAAAGTGAAATTCTTTATTTTTAAATTTTTTGTAGCTACAGACAGACAGAATGCCTTCATTTTGTTTATTTTTATGTGGCACTAAGGATCRAACCCAGTGCATCACACATACTAGGCAAACACTCTGACACTGGGCCACAAGCCCTAGCCCCTTAAACTAAAATTCTTTACACAGAGAAATGGCAAAATAAATAGGCTATCTGGACCCCCAAAGTCCTTTTTATAGAATTTTTGCCAAAACAAGATCGGCTCTGATTAAGATTAGTATCTTAAAGAAGGAACCAATGGCAACACTCAGATTACTCAATGAGTAAAACCATCCCTATAAAGCCAAAGCAGAGACAAATAAGCCAGGTCTTTGGGGAACTCCATATAGCTTACCTAGCAATCCAATTTATTATATCATTAGCCCATTAGAGATGTGAATCAAAGTAAGCTAGAGAATCAAGAACAACTTTTTAAACTTTAAAAAGTTTAAAATATGTGTTTTAAAATAATACATGAACACAAAGAGTGAACCCTAATGTAAATTATGGACTTTGATAATGATGTGCTGGTTCATGAAATGTAACGAACGTACCACACTGATGAAAGATGTTGATATAGAGAGAGGCTGTGCCTGAGTTGGGGTAGACACACATGAGAATTGTTCTTTCTGTTCAATTTTGCTGTGAACCTAAGACTGCTCTAAAAAATAAAGTCTATTGATTTTTTTTAAAAAAATACATGTTGAATAAGACATAACAAAATATTTTGATGGGGGTGGTGTGGTGGATACTGAGGATCAAACCCAGAGGCACTTTAACATTGAACTACATCCCCACAGTTTTTTTTTTTTTTATGAGACAGAGTCTCACTAAGATGCTTAGGACCTCACAAAGTTGCTGAGGCTGCCCTTGCACTTGTGATCCTCCTGCCTCCACCTAATGCTGACATTTTATCAAGTTACCCTGTTCTATACCAACAACATTCCAATAAAAAAATCCTTCAACTACGCAATTTTTTGGTACTGTTCTCACATCCCTAATTCTGAAAATTTTCTAAAGTCATTCTCTTTATACTTTTTTTCCTTTCCCATTCAATAAAACCTTATCAAACTGTCAGACATTTAAGTACCATGCTTCCTTTAAGCCGTCCCAATTTTTCAACTTTATTATCTGTGCTACAACACTAGTTCTGGGATACCTAGGAGATCACCCAAAACACAATTTCGACTCTTGTTTCAAAACACTGTTCCAACTTACAGGCATGTGCCACTACATCCGGCCTAAACAGGTTTTTGGGAAGTTGTTCTCAACACCAATTTTGTAACCAGCTCAACTATTGTATATTTCTCCATTCCAAACCCCCTCAACTTAGAATAAATTAAATTTTATCCAGTTTTTAAATTCCCCACTCTATTATTTAAAATAATATTTGTTATTCCCAAAGTGTTGGAGATCCCTGAACTATAAAGTAAAAAGTAGTCAAATGTGACCTTCTATGCAAATTGCAACTCACATATTATTAGTATCTGATTAGGTTTGGGTTTCCAGGTATAAATATGTATGATTTCTATTTCTTACACACACACACACACACACAAAAGTGTGTGGGTGGTATACACCTTAATTCCAGAAACTGGGGAGGCTGAAGCAGGAGGATCACAAATTTGAGCCAGCCTGGGCAACTTATGAAACCCTGTCATGTTTGTTTGTTTGTTTGTTTTTCCCTCAGAATTAAGCTTAACCTTGGTTTATATTCTTCATAACTTTTAGGATGAAATGACTCACAAGTCATTTCATCCTAAAAAGTTATCTATGCCTGCTTTCTACTCACCATGTGTCCTGTAACTTTAGAATGCACTGTTCAATACACAAATACAGAAAAGAATTTTTACTTAAGAATAATCACCTCCCACCTATCACAGTAAAAGAAGCAAAAAGAATAATCACCTTCCCAAATTTCTTAAAATCTCATTCTTATGTACAAAAGTATTAAGTGAGTACTGCATAGCACAACACCATATAGCTCAATGAGTTATAAAATTTCTTCCATTTATAGAAAAATAATTATTATCTACATAAGTCAATTTCCCCTCAGGGCTGGGGATCAATACTCAGGGCCTCACACATCCTGGACAAATGCCCTATTGCTGGGTTATAGCCCAAGTCCTACATGAACACTATTTTTTTT